CACCCGGGGAAGGTGAATCCGTGGGGGTTCCTTCCTTTCCCCTTTCGGGGGACTCCACCGGTGAAACCGTTTTTCTCGGGCGCATTCCTTTTTTGGTTCGGGGGGGGGCCCCCCCCCCCCCCAAAAGGGGGGTTCTTTGGGGGGGTGGGGGTGGGGGGGGGAGGGGGAGAGAGCGACGACGCTCAGAAGCCGACTAGAACATGCCGGTAGTTTCGACAAGCTGAGGAATTAGCCGGCGAGTATCAGCTAGAGCATACATATAGCTGATGTAAAGAGAGATAGGGCGTAACCATAAAGGCGTACTGATCAATTTCAAGTGGAGAACCAAGCCCCAAAACCAAGCTGAATTTACCCATGGCGAACGCGAGCACACACATTGCATCCGCACCCCCCCCAAAAAACGAACACCGGTAAACGCACAAAGAAGGCGCGAGACTCACCATGCAATCGTCCATGATCCCCGAGGCAATGTTCGCGCAAGCATCAAGGTTAGCGCCGTAGGTGTTCTTCGTCTGGTCCGACACTTTCTGGTTGCACTTGGTCAAGGACCCGTCGTACGTCAACGTGCAATCCTTGGCGCACTGTTTTTTTATTATTGTTGTTCATGTCGACAAAAAAAAAAGAAGAGAGAAAGGGAAGAACAAAGCAGCACAGGTGGGGAAGGGTAAGAGCCTAGCGGCTATATGTAAATGCGGAAAGGAAGGGGGGTGCAAGACATGTTTGTTTGGGTACCAGCGTGTAAATCCTCACGATTGTTCGGTCCGGAATTACCGTCAGGAAACCCGGCAACACCACTGTGCAATATTTAAGGTTCCTTCGCGGTTCCCTATCTCCAAACGGGATTGGAAGGCGGGACGCGGGCAACGAGGGTGTCGTCGAGACTGCCGAGAGACCGCCCACAGCCTCCCACGCCTCAAATACCGGATACTAACATCATACTAACATCCCAGTATTAGATCAGCAGCGTGTGTGTATTGTAGAGATCCAAAGGACCATTGGGGGGGCAGCGTGGATGCAGAGGTTCAAACGCCGGGTGGGCGTCGCGATGGTCCAACCAGCCCGGACCACGGGGAGAGACTGCACAGTATCGGAAAAGATTAGATGGAGAAAAAACAACAGGCTTGTCTGACACTCGCCTCTACGTAAGCCAGCGTCTCGGCGCTGTCCGTGCACGAAGCCTGTGAGGTCACGCATCCGGTGCTGCAGTCCGTGAGGTTGAAGTCCTCGTCCTCCGCCGTGGTGGCGTACACGCAGTTCAGGTCGCACAGCTCGCGCTTGTCCCAGCAAGTCATTCCCTTGCCGGGCATCTACACAGAAATGAAAAAAAAATTGCACACGGATCGGGTGGGGGGACACCAAAAATAATCATGTTGAGCTGTATAAGGTGTTGGGGGACAGACATAGTCAGCTTTACAAGGCATTGGACACTCTTGAGATGCATAAGCTTTTGAACGTTTTGTAACGATTGCTGCTGCGGGCGGGTTACAGCAATCGGATGGGCGGATGAACAACATGACTGACAACACCCCGTCTGCTGATCATCACAAAGCGCTCAGAGGTCGTGAAGGTGGGGTTCACATGGTGGAGCCTTGAGTGCACATGGGAAGGATAGAACTTGGCCGCCTTCCGTGCCTCGAGCACCCACCCATCTGCCGCTTTGATACATCTACCTCACAGCTCGCAGGGAACTTAGTATCACTTCTACGCTACTTTCCAGAAGATGCATACAACCGTGGCTCCGATACAAGAGGGTACCTCATAAGAGCGGGTTGGTTCCGATATGACAGAGCCGACATCGGTTGTCTCATGGACTCGACGCTTCTAGAATAGTTGTGTACTCGCTTAATCCGGTACAAGAAGGGGGTACGATACAAGAGGGTCGAGGGCCAATTGTCGCACAACCATCTTCTATCGGAGGAACGACTGTTTACAATCACAGAAGGACTGCCCGTTAGGGCACATGCCACAGCAGCCACAAATGAGTTGAGAGCACGACGAGTGCGCCGACATGGCAGCAAAACATAGCCGAGAGCGAGCTCTCCCGTCTTCCCATCTCGTGGCTGGACAGCAGGGATACAAGTATATGCGCGAGCAGGTTCACCCCTGGGACGTGGGAATAATATTGTCTATGTATGGAAGCCTGATTTAGTATACCTTTCTTGTGGGAAGTTAGCCTGTGACCACGGAAATCGACCGCGTCAAGTGTTTGACTAGTACGGACAGAAGAAGGTACCGGGCAGAGAGAACGGAACGGTTGTTGATGTCAAGACAGCAACAACAACAAGCCTGAAGGCGACGATACCACTATTGCACGTGCTCACTTCAAACGAGCGAGGACGAAATCCCGGCGCGCGGTACTCTTGTCTGTTTGTTCCGAACCTTACAGGTCTGCCGGTCGGGGGGATCCCTCCAAAAACAAGGACTACTATGCATATTAGGGTCGGTCTTAACGAAGAAATCAGATCTCGAAATCACGTTCACATTTGGTTATAAGACCGGAAGATCCACAGAACTCTTTCGATGATTGGCTGAAATGTTATGGAACCCGTCGAATCTTCAGGACTTATAACAGGACGACCCAAAACCAAGTCGGGATTAGAAAAAAGGTGAAATCATTTAATCGGATCCCGATTTGGGTGAACAGCGTCCATAGTTGCGGGACCACGGTCTACTCGCATGCACGGCGCGTGCCCACGTACCCCCATCCACACGAACTCCATCCACCGCCGAGCACAGAGGAAAGAAAGAGCGCAAAAAGCCAACCCAAAGGGAGGGTGACTGCGCATCGTTGTTGGAAGTGACTGGTGCCGAAAAAAACCGTGTGTGGGATGTGTTGGTCTGTGGGGCAATCTCCCGTGGGTTGGCGAACTTCAAATGCACAGACGAATTGGCGGCTTTCCGCCGGACGAGGGTCGATTCAAAGTGTCACATGCATAGACATCGTGTCAGAACCGCACACAGGCCATGTACGCGTTTAGTGTGTGCTTGTCGGGAGCGATAGCTCCCCATGTGGTGTGGCCACGTCATAGCAGTACGTCACAACAGCAATCTGGCAGTTGGCAAGCGGCGGACCTCTCGGGTTGTTCGTGGTGGACTGGAGAGATTCGTTTCCATTTGGCAGATCTCCCGTTAAGACAGACAGGCCATTTCTGTCCGGATTTGGGTAGATCCGACTCTTTTATTCTTATATCGAAATGTGATTTCGAGATCTGATTTCTTCGTTAAGACCGACCCTTGAGGAAAAATAATTACACACACAGAACGACACCCATTCGAGATATACCCACAGTCGAACGGGATGTGGTGGAGTCTTTTCAGTGAGTGCATACATACGGAGGAATTTTCGCTTAAGGGGTATTGTACAGTGTACATTAGTTTTTCTCAACTCCCTACTGCTGTAGATGCCTTCCGATCGGGCGGCAGCCGGGTGCTCCTTTCACCTGATAACATTCACGCGCCGAGAGGTTATCTATGACGGCAGTCACGTACCAATCATTCTGCGCGTCAGCGACAAGGGATCGCACGCATCACTCTGTGGTCGATACCGGGGTATCTTTTATTTTGTGTTGTCCTATGCATATGCATACAAAAAACACTACAAAGACGTCTCTTCCACAGATGAGAGTCCGTGACAGGCTAAAATAGCACCCTCAATCTAGCAATGATACCATGACATCTAGTGCTTGGGCCGAACGCGTTGGTAGGCTGCAGTTGAACGCCATGCAGCACGCTTCCTTGCCCTCCGCCAGTGTCTTCAAATCTAATCAACATGGTTAGAAAAATCAAAATTACTCATGTAGAACAAGTCATTGTTCTCGACCATCTGTACCGTTTTAGTAATTTCCCGTCCTGCTACATATACTGGATCGGATACCCATGGACCGGAGCCTCATGCAAACGATAAAAAATGAAACTCCGCTTTATACACAGAGCAAGAGTCCAGGAGGATATATCAGCGACGCAGCCACAGCGTCGTAATGGCTACCTGTGTCTCTACTAACGCCCGAGCAGCATGCAGTGATACATACCACCTCACAGCAGGAACAACGCTTGTACACAATCGATGCGATACACACATCCGCCAACAAAGCGTCATGAAAATACTCTCCGGAGAAAACGCGGAGAAAATAAAATACTTCAAACCCAAGGGGGGGGAAACCGTGAAACACGCCCAGCCGCGCGGGATAAAACACGTTGCTTCTCTCTCCTACTGGCGTGTAAATAGGCCCGGGAACGGGCATCGACCTCGAGAGCAGGAGGGCATATGCTCAACAGCAGTTATTGGTTGCAACTACGGCTGTCTGTATAACGGAGGGTCGCGTAGCACGCTGTATCTCTCCGGTCCTATCTCCCACGCTCACGGTCCCTTCGTTTCGCCGAGCAATAAAGCGTGCCCTTTGCCGAAAACACCCACGTACATTTAACCCCGTCACGGGTCCACAACAAAAGCAGGACGCGCGCACGCTGCCAGCCTCTCACCTCCTGGGCGGACGCACAGTCAGAGGCGAGGAGAGCGGCGACCGCCAGCACAGCCACGGCTGTTCGTCCGCATGTCCTCTTCGCGCCGGCCATATTGCTGCAACACCTCTCTCTCCGCTTCCGAAAGCTGACTTACTCTACGTGCAAAGCCGCCGTGTAGGGCTTCTAGGTAGGGGTAGAGATTGGGACCGCAACGGCAACAGCAGCCCTTGAGTTTTCTCGGCAGAGGAGTGTCAGGTCGTCCGTGAGAACAGAGGAGGGCGTTACTGAAATCTATCCAGAGACACAGCAGCAGTAGAGGTGTGATGTGCGATGAGCATTCGAAGTGCGCAGGGCGAGAGAGGACAACATCCCGGGGAGGGTATACAGCTACGGAGCCCCCCTTGTGCTCCGCCAATCATCGCACAGCTCAGGTCGGATCGCGGTTTGACGAAGCTGCTCGTGGACCGTTGTTGTTGTTCTGTGTCGGATCATTGTCTGTGAGTTTTATCGTGTCCCCCCCTGTTGTGGCAGAAGTTTAATGAGTTGGCAACCTACTGCCTGAAGCGTGTACCACCTACATACCAGGTACACCGGGGTGTACATTTTCTCCGTATGTATGCAATACGTGGGTCTACTGCTGTATGTCTATCATCATGTGGTGTACATGTATGTAGTGCAGCCGATCGATCTATGGATGTATACTACTCACGGCAAGTTTGTATGCACACGATATTGAAATCTAGGATGCATGCGGATTGCAACATTGTACTTTTTTAGAGGAAGGCCGGCAGATTACATGTACGTGCCGAAACGTGACAGAAAGGAGGCGGACAGGAGACAGGCCGAGGTAGAGACCAACAATCGAAAAGAACACACTACACCTACATAGATAGGGGCGCATCGAAAGACCCGGATAGAGGACACGAGACTCACTGCAGCTCTGCAACAAGCCAAGGAGGAGCAGGACGGAGACAGCAGAACGTGTGGAGAGATATGTGCCCGGCTAAGTATGATGGAGGTGGCAGGAATACCAGCCATGGGTCTCCTTCGAACACTACTTTGCCCCCCCCCCTGGCTCGTTACAAAATACTTATACCCAGAACAGGAGATGATAAATGGTGTTACCTATGCATAGCTTCTGTGTTTGTTTTTTTGTCCGGCAAAGAGATCGCAGAACCGTATACCCATGGTACTTACACCATATTATTCGAGGTACGTACGTGCCGAGAAGGGCTTGGCCGGCGGAAAGGCGAACATCCCACCTACTACGAGTGGGTACGGGCATCTTCGCCGTTCATTCCTCCTCCCATGGACATTTCCAATTAAACACACGGGGGTGTGGGTGAGGGAAAGAGTTGATACAGGCCTGGATCACCACAGAAGTACTAATGTGATGTAAATCAACATCATGAAAAAGAAAGAACCCGGTGGATTAACTATGTTGGCGACAACCCTCTCTAGTGAACGCCGTCATCCCAGCTGTGAGCAATTTTGGTGTTGTCCTGTTCCAAGTAGTGCTTGAATTGGACCATCCTGTCGAGCGTGCGACACCTCTCTCCTGTCATATCCAGCTAGTAAATTGCAAGCCCCCGATCGAACAGGAGGGGTACAGGCAACAAGCAATCAACCTGCGAAAGCGTACGTATGCACGTATGCATAGACATCCTACGGTTGATTGTTTTACGACAAGGCTTGTTCGTTCTCGCTCTCTTGTCGTGGGCCCTTAATGATCTCTCCTTGCATCATAAAACAGCCGGAATAAACTACTCCGTCACATCTTCTGACGTGCAAATCTGAACCCCGAACACGCACCGCATCTCCTTAACATTGTCTACGTCACACACCAACCACACCACACCACCCACCTGCTGCTCTCAATATTTACGGAAACGGCAACACGTGGACCATTCAACCAAGGTCGGCACACAGGCACAGATGTCGATCGTTCAATCCACGCATAAAATAGTCTATGCATATGCATAACACGCCACATATATATGGTACATGTTAGTAGCGTTAAGTGCGTGGTCTCTGGTGCAATTATTTCCGAAGCGAAGTCATGCTTTTCATACGCGCGCCCTGACCCCCGACCCTTCTCCTCGTTTGATCGACACAGACAAAAATAAGCACCAAACAAAACGGGTACCACACCACCCACCACCAATAACCCTTCGGTGGTGGTGGTGGTGAGAATGGCTGCGGCACGCTCGCTGTGCGAAACGTCGAAACAACCACACCATGACCACGATGACTTCCTATCCTTCGTTCGCTAGGATGAGAGCGAGTCCAGAAATACAAGGGAAAACACAACCCCCCCCCCCGCCGCGGTACAAGGGCACTACAACAGCAACAACCGGCAGACAGACCCCCTTCGACACCAACATCAAAGTCCTTCTGCTCAAGATTTGTCGTCCTGCAGGACACACCATATGACCTCACCCTCCGTAGGACACACACGTACGTACTTGGTTCTTTGGGCCGACTTGTGCATCGTCGTCACGCTGGGACGTTCCAACACCCAGGCGGCAAAACTTAAACAAGGAGAGTCCCAGAAACATGACACGCCTGCAGCGCTTGGATGACGCACGCTGCGGCCGCAGCAGCAACCAACCAAGCCCTACCCACGAGAGCTATCCCCACCCCCCAAAGCGTATCCCAGGCTAACACAAAAAAGAAAAAGAAAAAAAACTCCCGCCGCAGCCGCTGATCAACGACAACAGCAGTCCATTCACTTCGTGTGCTTGGTGTCTTGTCGAAACGAAATAAGTAAAATTCTTTTTGTATCTACAGGGGGTGCGAAGATACCGATCGTTTGCGAGGGGGGGGGGGGTAAGCAAGAATCAAAGCTCGCGTTGCCAAGCAAGTCACCGCCGCCACAATCGCTTGGCGCGCCGAGCTGGCTATCACAGGTGGTGAATGAATGAAAATACGTGTTTTTTCACACCGACAAGAACGCAACCACCACACAACACCGACCACGACAACGATACAGTAGCAGAGGTCAATCAAGGCATCCAGTGCTCTCCGTTCGGCCATGTCCATCACACTCCAAAAAATGCCGTGAGCGCGGGGGAAGTCACACCGGCATCGCCCACATCCTCTAACCCGCCCCCCCCACCTGCGTTCTTCTGACACTGATGGGCTTCTCTAATAATGCTACTGTGTGCGGTGGCATATTTTACTCCGGGGGTAACGCATCCATGCCTTGGCTACGGGGTGATACCGAAAGCACACGCCAGACGACGGGTAAACCAATCAAGCCTCCGAGTCTTCATCTTCTCAGGTCTGAAAGCGAGCAGCCTCCGTGTTCAATTTTTTCAAGACAAAAAAAAAAACACAGGCGACCAAAAAAACAAAAATTCTAGATATACAAGTAGGTAAACGCGTACAACAAGTCGCAGATCCCCACCACGTAGTACGGCAGGGAGATCGAGTACCCCGACAGCCACCCGGTCAAGAAGTGCGAGAACGTACCCTGGATCCCCTTTATGCAGTGCTGCCAGCCGAAGAATGCGCCCACGCTCGCCGTCCCCGCGGCCCTCGCCATCACCGCCCCCGCCGTCGACTCCCGGACGATGTAGCACAGCCCCTTGAACGCCATCAGGTGGTGCAACTCCCGAAGGGTCCCCACCGCGGGGACGCAGGCAACGAGCCCCGCCATGAGCACGCACATAAAGGCCGCCACGGCGCGGTCGCCTCCCATCTTTGCCGCGGCGCCCGCGCTCGACGATCCCCCCGCGAGCCTCACGAGCCACGGGATGAGCGGGGTCATCGGCACCAGCACGCGGCAGAGGGACCGGGAGCTCGTGATGCCCGCGAGGACCGAGGCGCCCCCGGAGAATTTGAGCGCCACCAGCGGCGCGAGGTCCTGCGCCGGCCTAACCGCCTGCAGCACGAAGGTCACGAGAACCAGCCGTTCCTTCATCATGCCCTTGAACACGCCCACCAGCGCGCTGGCCGACATCCCCTCGGCGAGGATTTTTCTCCCTTCGCCGGCCCCTTTGCCCTTCGCCCCGCCAGCCGCCGGTAGCTCTCCGACCCCGCAAACCCCGGCGGATGCCTCTACGGGAACGTCTAAGCGAGCCCCCGCCCCCCCGTCCGCCGCTCCTCTCCCACCAAACCCGTTCGTCTGGGCATCGACTCCTATTGAGCCCGACCCGCCGCCTCCCACGTTTCGATGCCGCAACCCTTCCCCCCCCCCGGAACCCCCGAGATCAACGACCCCTCCTGCCGCCGTGCCGCTGCTCTGTCGCAAACCCAGGCCGCCGCCGCCGACGGCGGGAGGCGGTGGCGGCGGCGGCAACGACAGCGACGGTGTGTCTCTTTCTCTCCCGCCGTTGAAGTACTCGGCCAGGTTTACGCCGCTCACCTTCTTGCCAACCTGCAGGATAAAAAGTAGAGAAAAAACAGCGAGGGGAGGGGGGGGGGGGTGGAGAAACAAAAAAGAAAAGCAAACAGCAGCGTGAGGAGGAGGAGGAGGAGCTTACACGTGAACATTTGGGTAGGGCAAAAGGCCGCACACGCGTGGGGGACAGGCAGCCCAGCCAACGTCGTCTTATTTTTGGCTCGAGCTATGTGCCACGGATCTTGAGCGAGTGGTACACGCGGTGACTTGGAGCTACGAGTTGGTTGTCATGCAAGTAGGCTCCAGATCGTGGGCGAAGCCAGCTCCCGATATAACATCGGAAACTCTCAAGACCGGGCATGGGAGGAGGTACGCGTAGAGTTCGGAAAGACAGGGGCGGTGAGCGGACTCCTTTGCTCAACGCACAAACGATTCATATAGCCACGTCTTCCAAAGATCGACCAGACCCTTCAACGAGGACCGCACCGGAAGCCCACAGCCGAAAGAACAAAAAAACGAGCTAATTTCTGGGAAAGCCGGGAGCCAAAATAAAACACTCTGGCGAGGCAGCAGCGTACAACGCTGCCTCTTCATGCTCGCACCATGCAACTCGCGCCGCTGTCGTTCGTTTATGCTTCTGCGATCCAATAATCCTTCTATCAAGGAGACTAGGTGGTATCGATACAGTACGGAGCTCATCAAAGGGCGTGTGTGCGTATACGCCCCCAGGAGCAGACGTGTTCAATGGCCGGCCGGTCGGCGCGGTGTCTTGATGCCACTTGTAACAAAGAGGAGAATTGGCACTGGTAAAAACACGGCATCAAAAACCGCCCAAATTTTCGTCTCCGTCCGGCCCTCTAGAGTTTTCGTTGCGGGCCACCCGCTCAGCGTGGTCAACCATACGCCCATAAACAAACACACAGCCATGGGACAACCAGGTACGCGGCGCTGTCTGTGCTTCTTTGATGAGGCGAAATGAAAATAAGTTCAGCCGTTTCGCGCAGCCTTCGTGCGAAAAAAAAAAAACATGCACACATGTCGGGGAGCCCCACGGACTAGACATTGCTTCCCGCGTAAGACTGGCGTCCTTCCAATTGGTCAGGCGGTTCGCGAGGTCGATGCAAAAAAAAAAAATTGCACACGCGTTGCTAGCAGCACTGCGACTGGCGAATTTTCAATGGCCAGTTGGCCGGCTAGCGGGGTCAATGCTACGTCAAGACCCACAGGGAGAGAGAGAGAGAGAGACACACACACACAAGCATTTGGTGTTTTCGACCGCACTGAGACTGACGTCTTTTCATTGGTCAACCGGTTAGCGCGGTCGATTCTAATAACAAAAACTACACACACACAGACACACAGAGAAGAGAGAGAGAGAGAGACATACACACCTCCGCAAGATCCCTAGCGCCCTCGATAGCCACCTCGGCCAGGTTGCTGGCCCCCTCCAGCAGGTAATCGCTCACGACGCGGCTCATCCGCTGCGTGCGGCAGCCCTCCGGTCGCGTGTCCACGAACGTAATCTCCACTATCGCCGCGGAGATGATCATGGTCATCGTCGCCACCGTCAGGATAGCGTCCGCGCTGTCACCCGCCCACGCGATCAGCGCCGGCGCCGCCAGGTAAGCGCAACCCCACGACGCCGAGTGCTGCGAAAACGCGGACGATTGCCACTCTGGCGGTACCTGTTCCATGGGGAGCGGAGGGGAGGGGCACGTACACGCATGATTTAGTCGTTGTAGACCATTGACCTCGCATCCCTACAATGCCGAGGTGCACTCATGCGAACGCACGCCGTATTCGTCACAGGCCATTGACCTCGCATCCCTGCAATGCCGGGACGGAGCTATACATGCCGGTATTTTCGCCGGCCCAGGCTACGATGCACAAGGATGAATCGCTTACGGGGAGTGTTTTTTTTTCGTCGAAACCTTTCGTTGCCAAAAACATAAGGTTGCAAACTTCTGTTGGATAAGCATACAAGTAGTGTTTCAAAACGAGAAAGTGGACTTGTAGAGGGGTTTGTAAGCAAGGTTGTCATCACAATGTAGGGCTGACTCGGCTGCCCAGGACCAGGCATGTACTTACGTGTTCTTTCATGAGTACTTCTGCGTTGAGGTCGCACAAGCATAGCATTGCACTCCCGATTTAGAATTTGATGTCGATTCTACGTCAACCCCGTCACCGTGTCGTCTTCACGAAGGCTGTGCCTCGCTGTTTCTACATTCTACAAAAAAGATGAGGCAGAGGAGGACAGTGTAAAAAGCAGCTGCTACGGCAAGCATGTCGTGTGCCCGCGATACATTGTTGTAGATATTACCTTGTGTCCATGCCCTTCATTCCTCCGTTGATCGTACTATAAGTGCCAGCTCTTCAGTTACTTGCAGTAGGCAGTGCTTGCTGTTGATCACTCATGAGGGACGAATACTATTACTTACTGATGTACACCCCTTAGCGTTTACCAATAACAACGTCTGAATCTATTGCTTCGTGTTTGATTCGGCGAATTGCACCACTCCAAGCAACGGATGTCTTGGCCCCCGCTTTGCATGCGACGGCCACGGACGGTGTACGGCATTTGGTTGCTGTTGGCTCAAGTTCGGTGCCAACATCAACATGACAGCAGTGACGACTTCGTCGCAGCTGCCGCCAAACAAAGAAATTAATTCTACGACCCCGTCGGCACAGCAAAGGCGGGCCCTACACCTATATTGGTGTAGTAGCACCAGGGCTCAACATCCCACGGACACACACAGCCGCGCAGATGAAGAGAACAGAGGTCACAAACGTGCGGATTGAAGTACAACAATCTCGTCGTACAGGCAGTATTAGAGTGGACTCTGCAGTAGACACGAGGGGGTACGGCACGCACGCGGCGCGAAGGTCCGCTTCGCTCACCGTATCCCTGATGTAGGCGTGCATTAGAGCGCCGTTCGCCGCGAAGCACCCCATCAGCAGCCGGCACATGATGAGCCCGTGGATGCTGTACTGCCCCCACAGCTTCGTCACCAGGAAGGACAGCGCTCCCCCGAGAAGCGTCACGACCAGCGCCTGCCGCCGCCCCATCCTGTCGCTCAGGAACCCTATCCACGGCGCGGAGATCATCTTGGTCAAGTAGTAGCCCGACATGACCAGGCCGTAGGCCATCCCCCTCCAGGCCTCCCGCACCCCTTCCGACCCGGGGTCGCCAGCGCCGTCGGGGCCTCGCGGGTAGATGAGCCGGTTCGCCATGAAGGGAAGCACCGGCATGGTGGTGGTGTAGCTCACCGCGTACACGCACGTCGCCAGGTTGCGCGCGGCGAGAAGGACTTTGAACCAGTCCCGTTTCCGGCTGCGCTTGCCGCCGCCGCCGCCGCCGCCGCCGGGCGGTGCGCTTGTTGTTGTTGTCGTGCTGCCCCCGCCTCCGGCTCCCTCACCGAAGCTCCCGCTGCTCTCCCCTGGCGTCGAACCGCCGGAGTCGCACCGCCCCCGCGATGACATGCTCGCCGTGTCGGACGAGTCCGCTCGACCCCCGTGGCCGCCGCCGACGACGCCGCCGACGCCATGATGGTGGTGATGCCCGGTGGGGAACCAGTCGACGGGAGGCCGATCCTCCTGACCCGCCCAAGAGGCGATGCGGCGGCGCAAGCTCTCATGCGGTGGTGGTGGCGGTGCCCGGAGCGATCTATACCGCCCGTAGCCAGACATTTCTGCTCTCGTGCTCGCTCGCCTTGTTGTGCTGGTTGGTCTCCTGCTGGCTCGGGGTCGCGGTGGTGTATAGAGAGGAGAATTCGAAATAAATGTACGTCTGATGTCGCGCACCTCACGAGAGAGCGCCCGGCACCCAGGCCAGGCTGCAGCTTGCTGCCTGCGTAAATAACCCCAAGGCTCCGTAGAACAAGCAGTTTGCACCGGACTAAAGAGAGGGGTTTCCTCCGGTATCTATCTGTCGCCTTTCTTCCCCTACCACTAAGACGAAACAACGGTGGGTGGGGGGGACTCAACGACTCAAACTGCTGTGCTGCACACGAGCCTTGGGATGCGGCGGAAACAGCAAAAACGTTTTTTTTTTTTTTGGCAAATGACGCGTCACCCCCGCAATGCGTTCCACGCATCACCGCCGATAGATAGGTATCCACATGATTGGGCCCGGTTTGATGACATGGCTCACGAAGAGTCCGGCCGGTGCCAAGCTGCACATGATATTCTGTCTCTGGCACAGGTGTCAAAAAGCCCCAAAGATAGATTTGTAACAAGGATGGGCGGGCGGGCGGTCGGTCGGGTTCGAACATGCTGCTTGCTGTATCGGCCTTGCACCCACGATGAGCGATCTTGCTTCTGTAGACTGCTGTTCATGTAGGTAACCTGCATGTTGTAAGACTTCACAACCACATTTCCGAGAAACATCTCCGATGAGGGCTACTATGTGGCAGTCCTGCGTGCACACGTCTACTCTACAAGACGTGGCTACAACAGTACAACAGCCGCCGCTGTCACTCTTTTTGTTGTGTGGAAACACCATGTGATCAAAAGATATTTGACGCACGAACAATGATGGTAGCATTGTAGGCTACATGTGCTTACAGTACTCAACCTTTGCGGTCGGGATCTCCCTCACTCACAAGGATCGGCACGAAGAGACCTCAATGGTCTCGGTCATCGCCCAAATCTCAACGCAACGAAATTCTGTCGGAAGGGCGCGGCTAGATCGGCGCAGCGCGCTCCCCCCGCCGCCACCCCGGCTTCGCCCGCTGACTGAGGCACACGAGTCCAGTTTCACGATTCCTCTACATACAACCGTCGACCTCATCACCAGTGTGGTAGGTACATACAAACCGGCACGAACAACCACCACCGGCCATTCGCTGAAAGAAATCGCTGATAGAAACCGCTCGCGTGCCATCGTGCCACCATGCCATCATATTGTTCGCTGAAAGAAATCGCTGATAGAAACCGCTCGCGTGCCATCGTGCCACCATGCCATCATATTGTTCGCTGAAAGAAATCGCTGATAGAAACCGCTCGCGTGCCATCGTGCCACCATGCCATCATATTGTTCGCTGAAAGAAATCGCTGATAGAAACCGCTCGCGTGCCATCGTGCCACCATGCCATCATATTGTTCGCTGAAAGAAATCGCTGATAGAAACCGCTCGCGTGCCATCGTGCCACCATGCCATCATATTGTTCGCTGAAAGAAATCGCTGATAGAAACCGCTCGCGTGCCATCGTGCCACCATGCCATCATATTTTTCGACTGTAAAGAGGCAACGACCACACAACAAGGCGAGACGAGTGCACCAACGTTCTGAAGCACCGCTCCTCCAAGATATCAATCCCCCAACCCCGGACAAAAAAAAAAACACGCAACCAGGCATCAAAACCCCTGAAAACACAAGTCGTACTCCGGGAGCCGCTTCAGCCGCCGGACCCCAACCCCGGCGCGCTTGTTGTCGGCCGGGTCCACATCCTCCCAAACGTGCGGGACTGCCACGGGCACCACAGGGACCTCCCTAGCACCACCGCCACCGTCTACCCCCGCCGTATCCTCGTCCCAGCCCTCCGGCTTCTTCCGGAAAAGCGCCGGCCAGGAAGGGCCGGCGACGGCGGCGGAGGAGCAGCGTCGCCCGCCGTTTGGGTTTCCACTAGCCAGGGGAGGCATCGCCGGGAACGGCTGCGCGGCCCCGGCTCCCGAAGGCGGCGGCTGGCGACGCCTGATCCCGGCCTCTCCTCGCGTGCTGGCTGTCTTTTCTTCGGCGGGTGTTGTTGCTGTTGGCGCCGGAGACTGCTGTGATGGTGGGGGACGGGCCTGTATGTCGCGCCAGAAGGCCACCATCCACGTCACCCGCATGCCCGCCCGATCCTCCTTGACTTCCTCGCATCCCACCCCCTGACCGTCCTCCTCTGGGGGAGGCGTTGGGTGGGTGGGGGTCTCCGTGACCGGCACGCCGCGGCCCGGGATGACCCCGTGCAGCACCCCGCCGTCGAACATGCACACGCGGTTGACTCTGGGGTGGACGATCCAGCCCCGGTCGGCCAGCCGCTTGGAGGTTAGCCTCTGCGTCGTGACGAGGGTCGGGCCTCCCACGTCCCCGGTCACGTACACCACCACGCTGCAAACAACCGTTGAAGGGGGGGGGGGGGGGGGGGAGTTGTACTCATGTAAACGCATGCCGCAGTCGTTAGACCACTGACCTCGCATCCCCCCAATGCTGCCGGGACGGAGCCAAAATCCCGGGGGGGGGGGGGGGGGCTTTTTTTCCAAACCCAAAAATCCAAAGTTTTTAAGGGGTTTTTTTTTTTCCTAAAAATGGGTTTGGGGCCCCCCCCCAACCCCCCTTTTTCGAAACCAAAATCCTTTTTGGCCCCCCTGGAGGTGGGCCGGGGGGCCCCCCCCCCCCCCCCAAATTTTGCCCCTTTTCCCCCGGAAAAACCCCCCCCCCCCAAAACCCCCCCCCGTTTTTTCCCCCCCCCCCAAAAAGGGAAAAAAAAAACCCCGGGAAAAACCCCCCTCCCTCCCTTTTAAACCCCCGGGGCC